AAAAAAAAAAAAAAAAACCTTTTAAAAAAAAAAGCCAAACTGATGCCATGACTCATGGGTGTGAATTCCAACTCTACCATTTATTACTAACTTTATGACCCTGGACAAGGTATTTTTTGTGTCTCTATTTCCTCATCTGTAAACTGGGAATAATAACCTTCATGGTGTTTTGTCTTTGTTGTTAGGTTTTTATTTTATAATCATAAACTTAACCATTCAATCTAGCTAGATGTAGAAGGGAATAAGGAAAATATGGAACCCAAAGTACTACAGTGAGAGCGAAAAGATTATGGGATACTACAAACAAGTGGAGTGGAAGGTTGCTCTCCTGAGCTACAGAAGGAATAGTCTAGTAGTTAACACGAAATTCAAATTTATTAGAGTTGTCCACAGTTGGCAATGGTGATCTTCTTGTTGATCTTGCCATTCTTGGACCCAAAGCACTCCATGGCTTCCATGACAGTCATACCCTCTCTCTCACCTTTCCTAAGACCACATGCCTACTATCTAAGCCTTCAGTCTTCGCACTACAGATAAAAAATTGGAAACCATTTGTGTTGGGTCCACCATTTGCCATAGGCAAGATGCCAGGACCTGCATGCTTCAGGATGAAGTTCTCATCAGATTTTTCCCCATAGATGGTCATGCCACCAGTGCCATTGTGGCATGAAGTCACCACTCTGCCATATAAACCCCGAAATAATTCTGTGAAAGCTAGAACTCTTAAACCAAGTCCTTTCTCTCCAGTGCTCAGGACACAAAAGTTTTCTGCTGTCTTTAGAACTTTGCCTGCAAACAGCCCAAAGGAGATGCGGAGCTCCTACTTGACAGCTATGTGGGAGAACATGGAGCTGATAATGGCTGACGGCAGGCGCCTCCAGATAGTAGCAGTGTCTGCAAAGCCATACTATTTTTATAAAGATTAAATGAGATAAAATTTCCTGGTACATAAAAATAAAGTATAAAAGTACTATTATTCTAGCCATTTTTAAGAAATCATTTTTTACATCTGTCTCTAGAGCATCCCTGGTTTTATACAACATAAACTATGAGAAAATTGGAAAAGGACACAACATACAATCCTTAATGTTTACATAAAAATTCCTGTTAATACTTATGTGAAAACTATCTTCCCTTCCCCGCAAAGGAATAAAAGAGCATTATTAAAATGTTCTTGTCTCAAAAAAATTAGGTTCCTCAACCTTTTCCTTTATCAAATGTAAATCATAGCTGCTCTGATGAAATGTTTTTAAATTAAGTCTCTATATAAAGAACGTTCTTAAATGTCAAATCTGCACCAAGATTTAATTACCTTAAAACCATCCATATCTTCTAAGTGCATGCTTGTTAAGAACGTTTATTCCCATTATCTGCTTCACCATGTATCTAGCAAGGGAATCGTGGGAGTATGTAACACAAATTACTTGCCTTAGAAAAGACACTGTTTATTCCACATGTGTAAACTTCAGTGAATGACTTTCAGAAAAATCAAAAGAAAGTAAATGTAATATCCATACAGTTGTTTAAGCTTTATTTTTATATGCATGCATGTTTCAAGGAAACAAAAATTTCAAGATACAGAATATGACATATCAGATGAAATAATTCAGATTTTAATGTACACACAAATAACAATATAAAGCACATATATAAGATACATTATATAATTTGTTTTGAGGTTTCAAAAAGCAGTAATTTGGTTTTAAAATTCTGACATCAATATCTAACATTCAAGTAAAACATCTTTCAAAAGTTAAGACTTCTGAGACTAACACATAACTCTATGACAGCCTGCCTTTACCACGATCTTCAAAATAGTGCTGTTCAATTCTCCTACAGAAAGCAAGGAGGTTGCTATAGTTTTTCACCTTCTCAGAAAGTTCATCATTTGTCAACTGTGTAGTAAGAATGGTGTACAGATGGCCAAATACCAGTGCATCAAGTTCAGTAGGCCTAAAGGTAGAAACGGGAGTAATGTGAGTAAGTAGCATTTAACTTTTACAATAGAAAACACAGTTGGCCCTCTTCACCCACAGGTCCCATATTCGCAGGTTCAACCAACCTCAGATCCAAAATATTTTAAACGATTAGAAATAACAACACAGGCCAAGCATGGTGGCTCATGCCTGTAATCCCAGCACTTTGGGAGGCTGAGGTGGGTAGACTGTCTGAACTCAGGAATTCACAACCAGCCTGAACAACATGGCAAAAACCTCATCTCTACAAAAAATACAAAACTTAGCCAGGCATGGTGGTGCTTGGCTATAGTCCTAGCTACTCAGGAGGCTGGGGTGGTAGGATGGCTTACGCCCAGGAGGTGGAGGTTGCAGTAAGCTGAGATCACACTACTGCATATCATTTAGATTGTGTGTATTGGGTACTATAAGTAATCTAGAGATGATTTAAAATATACGGGAGGATGTACATAGATTACAAGCAGACACTGTACCATTTTTTCTTTCTTTCTCAATACATTAAATTTACATAAGCAATTATGCCATTTTATATAAAGAGACTTGAACTCTGCAGATTTTAGTATCTGTGTGGGTCCTGGAACAAATGTCCTGTAGATACACGAAAGACCCCCGTGGATATGTTTTTAAAAATCATTTTATTCATCAATTTAAAAGAAAAAAGCCACATAAGAAACAAATCCTACCACAACTTGACATAACTTTACTTGGAGTTTCTGCTATATGAAAAAAAATATGATTTGCTAGTTGTGTGACTTGCTTTCTTTAGTAACAACATTTAAGTGTGTTAAAATAATATAGATGTAATGATCATATTCATTTAATTCGTTACTTTTGTCACTAAATAAATACAGCAGATCTCCAATGTGCCAGAAACTATACCAAATGTGAGGCATAAAAATAAGAAAAATACTCTACGACATGTACATGAAACATAAATTATAAAGTTGTTTTAATAAATACAATTTAAGTATTTTAATAGATGCATAAACAAAGTGCTGTCAAAGCACAAAGGATTTCGCTGTGATGACAGGACCAAAAAAATGATACCCAATCACAAATCAGTAACAAGATACAACTTTAATTTTACCACTTTTAAAGTAACTTAGATTTCTGAAGGAGATAAAATCGTAAGGATGGCTTCAACATAAAAATTTCTAGGGTTTTTTTTCTCATTAATTATATATTACTAACAACAAAATGAAATCTATCCCACTACTAATGATCTATAAATGGGGCATCACCAATTTACATTATATTAAAATAATTACTAATGCAATATTACTAAAACAAGAAAATGTCATAATTACGAGCTAATTATTACTCTGAGTCCCATAGTGATAAAGGTTTTGAGAAAACATGTGCTAGCCTACATAAACGTGTGTTGCGGGAAGTCAGGGACCCCGAACGGAGGGACTGGCTGAAGCCGAGGCAGAAGAACATAAATTGTGAAGATTTCATGGACATTTATGGGTTCCCTAAATTAATACTTTTATAATATCTTACGCCTGTGTTTACTGCAATCTCTGAACATAAATTGTGAAGATTCCATGGACACTTATCACTTCCCCAATCAATACCCTTGTGATTTCCTATGCCTGTCTTTACTTTAATCTCTTAATCCCATCATCTTCGTAAACTGAGGAAGATGTATGTTGCCTCAGGACCCTGTGATGATTGCATTAACTGCACAAATTGTTTGCAGAGCATGTGTGTTTGAACAATATGAAATCTAGGCACCTTGAAAAAAGAAGAAGATAACAGCAATGTTCAGGGAACAACGGAGATAAAACTTTGGACTCTGACTGCCGGTGAGCTAGATGGAACACAGCCACATTTCTCTTCTTTCAAAGGCAAATAGGAGAAATAATCGCTGAATTCTTTTTCTCAGCAAGGAACATCCCTGAGAAAGAGAATGCGCCCTGAGGGTAGGCCTATAAACGGCCCCCTGGGGGCGGCTGTCTTTTACGGTGGAAGCCGCAGGGATGAAATAAGCCCTGGTCTCCTGTAGCGCTCCCAGGCTTATTAGGAAGAGGAAATTCCCGCCTAATAAATTTTGGTCAGACAGGTTGTCTGCTCTCAAACTCCTGATAAGATGTTATCAATGACAATGCATGCCGAAACTTCATTAGCAATTTTAATTTTGCCCCTTCCTGTGGTCCTGTGATCTGGCCCTGCCTCCATTTGCTTTATGGTATTTTATTACCTTGTGAAGCATGAGATCTCTGTGACCCACACCCTATTCGTGCACTCCCTCCCCTTTTGAAAATCACTAATAAAAACTTGCTGGTTTTACGGCTCAGGGAGCATCACGGAACCTGCCGACATGTGATATCTCCCCCGGACACTCAGCTTTAAAATTTCTCTCTCATACTCTTTCTGTTTATTTCTTAGACCAGCCAAGACACTTAGGGAAACAGAAAAGAACCCACGTTAAATATCAAGGGTGGGGTTTCCCCCGATAAACGTGAAAATATGTTGCAGTAATCTGGTTTGGCAGAATAAATTTGGGGGTTGGTAAAAATCTAAATTTGAACCCCCATACTGTCACTAGCTATGTGGCCTTGATTGCTATTGATAAGTAATATCCTAGAGATGCACAGCTTTAAATACCATCTTGATGCCACTGACTCCTAAATATTTATTTCTGGTCTTAGTGTCTCCCCTGAGCTCTGGATTCATACATCCAAATGCCTACATAACGTCTCCACTTCAATGTGGAATATCTGTGGAGCAGGATGTGGAGCCTCTTGACTAAGATGTGTGGGATATTTTATTTTCTCAATAGCAGTAATTTACAGTATCTCAAACCTGCTTGTCCCCCAAACTTCCCAAAATAAAGGCACCACTATCCAACCAGCTGTTCAGGCCAAAAATCTAGGGGCTACTCTTGAGTCCTTTCTTTCACCCTCCTATATCCATTAGCAAGTCTGGTGAGACACTACCTCCAAAATATGCCCTGAATACCACCACTTACTTATTCATTATGATCTCACAGTGTAACCTACCATCATCTGTCACCTAGACCACTGAGATAGCCTCCTAAAGTGTCTTACTGCTTCTACTCATTCTCCATACCATAGTCAGAATGACTAACGTCAGCAGATCATACAAACTCCAAGCACAAAATATTCAAATGGATTTCTGTTCTACTTATACTAAAATGCCAAACTCCTTACACTAAGCACACAGAGCCTTGATAATCTGGCCTCTGCCTACCTCTTTAGCCTCATATCCTACCATTCATAGCACACAACCCAAACTGGCCCTGCTTCTTGCATTTGAACCTAACAAACTCAAGCCAGTTAGGGAGCCTTGACTACAACTATTCCTGCTGCCTAAAATACTCTTCCTCTGACTTTACACTGGCTCCTTATTTTTTAGAATAAGGTTTAAATGGCACATCTTAAAGTCTCCTCAGACCACCCAAACTGAAGTAGACATATAGTCACTCTTTATCATGTGGTCCTTTTTTAATGCTACATTTGGTAATTAATACCATATAATTTTTTTTTCTTATTGTGCATCTCCTCTATCAGAAAGTCCTATAGAGAAAGGACCTCACCTACTTGGTTCCTGCTGTATCCCCAATACCTAGAACAATTCCTTGCACAAAGCAAGTTCTCAATAAATTTGTGTTGAATGAACCAATAAAAAGGTGACACACTTCTCATACCATATTATAACTGTGTTCACTTAACTGTTTCCCTCACTACACTCCAAGCTATTTAAAGGCAATGATGCATGTATGTTTATATTCCCAGTTCTTAGCACAGTGTCTAAGGAACTGAAATAGCACTTGCTGAATAAATACATGGATTAAAAAAGAAAGCATCTTAAGATGTGTGGAATATTTTATTTTCTCAATAGCAGTGACTTACATTCTTTGAAAGCCTTCCACTCTTTTGACACATTCATGAAGTGTTAATCAAAGTCAAATGTACAATCTGTGGCCATGTTTAAATGGGTAGCCAACAGTACAGTTTTTTTAAAAAAGTATCTCAAGGTCCTTAGACTCAACAGCACCATAATCTTACCAGCACAGGGAAGAATCAATAATGAATAGATGCCTGCAAAAAACCAAGGATGCAGAGTGGATAAATGTGGAGCTGAGCTGAGGTACCTGGTGAGAATAATACAAACACCAACTCTTCCACATGCCTAAACATATTTCTTAGGAGGTACATCTTATCTTACCAATTAAGAACTTATTTTCCTAATCCTTGTTTACTGCCAGCTACCCTATGCTTCTTGTACTAGAGCCTAAAAAAGGTGAATATATTCCCTGATGCAACTTCCAGTAATATAGATGGGCACCCTTTATCAATAAATGAACGCTCTGAAAGAGTTCAACTATCAATGTATGCTCAAATGACAGTGCTCCAGAAGTACCCCTGAAGTGGCCAAAATGTTATTTGCTGCAAATATATATCCACGTAACTCCAGAGGTACTGAATTATATATGGGCATGAGCATATAAAAATTGATGTGATTTTACATAAAGATAGCAACTTTTTGGCAAGTTACTTTAGAAAATGGCCATACTGCCCAAGGTAATTTATAGATTCAATGCCATCCCCATTAAGCTACCAAAGACTTTCTTCACAGAATTGGAAAAAACGGCTTTAAAGTTCATATGGAACCAAAAAAGATCCTACACTGCCAAGACAATCCTAAGCAAAAAGAACAAAGATGGAGGCATCATGCTACCTGACTTCAAACTATACTACAAGACTACAGTAACCAAAACAGCATGGTACTGGTATCAAACAGAAATATAGACCAATGGAACAGAACAGAGGCCTCAGAAATAATACCACACATCTACAGCCATCTGATCTTTGACAAACCTGACAAAAACAAGAAATAGGGAAAGGATTCCCTATTTAATAAATGGTGCTGGGAAAATTGGCTAGCCATAAGTAGAAAGCTAAAACTGGATCCTTGCCTTACTCCTTATACGAAAATTAATTCAAGATGGATTAGAGACTTAAATGTTAGACCTAAAACCATAAAAACCCTAGAAGAAAACCTAGGTAATACCATTCAGGACATAGGCATGGGCAAGGACTTCATGTCTAAAACACCAAAAGCAACGACAGCAAAAGCCAAAATTGACAAATGGGATCTAATTAAACTAAAGAGCTTCTGCACAGCAAAAGAAACTACCATCAGAGTGAACAGGCAACCTACAGAATGGGAGAAAATTTTTGCAATCTACTCATCTGACAAAGGGATAATAACTAGAACCTACAAAGAACTCAAACAAATTTACAAGAAAAAAACAAACAACCCCATCAAAAAGTGGGCAAAGGATATGAACAGATACTTCTCAAAAGAAGACATTCATACAGCCAACAGACACATGAAAAAATGCTCATCATCACTCGCCATCACAGAAATGCAACTCAACACCACAATGAGATACCATCTCACACCAGTTAGAATGGCAATCATTAAAAATCAGGAAATAACAGGTGCTGGAGAGGATGTGGAGAAATAGGAACACTTTTACACTGTTGGTGGGACTGTAAACTAGTTAACCATTGTGGAAAACAGTGTGGCGATTCCTCAAGGATATAGAACTAGAAATACCATTTGACCCAGCCATCCCATTACTGGGGATATACCCAAAGGATTATAAGTCATGCTGCTATAAAGACATATGCACACATACTGTTTACTGTGGCACTATTCACAATAGCAAAGACTTGGAATCAACCCAAATGTCCATCAGTGACAGACTGGATTAAGAAAATGTGGCACATACACACCATGGAATACTATGCAGCCATAAAAAAGAATGAGTTCATGTCCTTTGTGGAGACATGGATGCAGCTGGAAACCGTCATTCTCAGAAAACTATTGCAAGAACAGATAACCAAATACCATATGTTCTCACTCATAGGTGGGAAATGAACAATGAGATCACCTGGACACAGGAAGGGGAACATCACACACCGGGTCCTATTGTGGGGAGGGGGTAGAGGGGAGAGATAGCATTAGGAGATATACCTAATGTAAATGACGAGCTGATGGGTGCAGCACACCAACATGGCACATGTATACATATGTAACAAACCTGCACGTTGTGCACATGTACCCTAGAACTTAAAGTATAATAATAAAAAAAAACACAAAGAATATCAATAAAAGTATAACTCAATAGATTAAACCAAAGCACATATAATTGTGTGTTACTTAACAGGAATACATTCTGAGAAATGCACTGTTTGGCAATTTTCTTGCTGTGTGAACATCAGAGTCTACTCACACAAACCTAGATGGTGCTATACACCTACACTATATGGTACAGCCTATTGCTCCTAGGCTACAAACCTGTACAGAACATTTCCATACTGAATACTGCAGGCAACTGTAACACAGTGATAACGTGTATTTATGGTACACAAATACTTGTGTATTTAAACATATCTAAACATAGGAAAGGTATAGTAAAATAGAAAAGGTATAGTAAAAATATATTACAATCTTAAGGGACCATCTTCATATATTTGGTCCATCACAGACTGAAAGGTTGCCATACAGGGCATAACTGTATATATCCACAAACACTTAACCTTTAAAGCATATTTTTTGTAATTTTTCCGAATTTGAGCAACTCTTTATACTGACTCTGACATATATAAATTATTGATTCCAACAAGTCTTTCTTTTTAAAAAGTACAATTAATATTTTAGTTGATAGGTGACAGTTATACAACTGTATGCCTTTGTTAAAATTCATAGAACTACACACATAAAAGTGCCAATTTTACTAGATGTAAATTACACATCAATAAACATGACTTAATAAAAAGAGAAGTAACAAATTCAGAAAAATATTTCCAACTCATATGGAAGACAAGAACAAAAAAATATTTTATCCAGTATTTCTACTGAACTGTTTAATCAAGTCAAGATCTTCATATATCTCCAATTTTAATTATCTTGCTATATCATGTGAAAACATTAACTTTCCACCATTCTGCTTACCAAATAGTTTGTGATTATAATTCAAATACAGATAGCAATTCCCCACCTGTGAGCTCTAAGATGTTTCATATATTATTGGATTTATCTTTATAGACTTTTTATTAGAAAAATATTCCAGGGTGACAAATATATTTCTAAGGTCCTAAGAAATCTGATGCCTTCTTATATTATTATTCTTTCCACATTCATGTTGGTTATCTACTGTTTTGTCATTTGAATATCAAAATAAAAACAGTAAAATTCAACATTTTCCTAACATTTTCCATTTAAGATTTTTCTGGCACTCATCTTTTTTGCTTTGCTTATTCATTATTTCACATTTATTTCTGATACCTTCAAAGTACCATCTAGTTTCAAAAGCATTAATTTTGTCTAGGTGTTTCCTAATTGTTCTTTCCCATTATTAACTTTCCATCTCTTTAAAGTACTAGAAATGATCTACATATCTTTTCTTTACATCCCAATCACTTATCTTTAGGGCTGTCACTCAAGTTTTGTAAATCAAGCCCCTTGCTTTTTGGCCTCTTTTCCCAATTACTATTCTTTCTGTAAGATCTCTCTTAACTACCCTTCTCCTTTTCTGTCATCAAGTACAGGTATTTGGTTTCTTTCATGAGTCCTCCCAACATCCCCAGTGGTTGAGCTAGAAGGAAAGTTAATTCTAATTTTAGGGGATTAATTCTAATTGTAGGGGGTTAATTCTAATTTTAGGACTGGAGTATACCTAGAGAAATTAGAGTAACTCAGAGATATGTCAGAGCCAAGAATAGAATTCAGACCCTCTGTCTTGCAGTATAATGCTATGTATCCTGACTTAAGCCACAGCTCTATTCAGCATAGTTATCTCACAAAGTAATGACTCCTGCTACAGATAAAGGAATGAGAAAAATGTTGGCGCAGAAAGTGAAATACCAGTTACTTTTTTCTAAATGTACTTTATTTGCATTTTAATATTAATTAAATGATTGAATAAAATTAAAAATTAAATCTCTTCTATCTTTAATCTTATTTTTAGGGAAAATGTTTATCTAAGTATCATGTAAAGGAAAATTATGTCAAAACTGTACATCATAGCATCAGTTAAATAGTTCCGCAAAAGCAAGCCTTTGGTGTTTGAACTGTTGTAAGTTTTCATCACAAGATTAAATGTAATTGTGCCCTTATGAAGAAAAATGATATCTTGATGTTTCCACTGAGTCACATGCCAAACTCTGGTTACTGACACAATGACAATGAGTTTGAGAAGAAAAGTAAGTTAGATCTATTCTCCTGGCTTCCTCTAAACACAGAGTGCGTAACAAAACTAAAATAGAATAACGTATTTCAATAAAACACACTCCTTCTGAGCTTTTCAATTCCTAAGAATTCCTGTGTCAGAAAGAAAAGAAACCACATAATACTGACATTTGGATACATTTCTCTTGTGCTAGGGACTGAAAAATAGAATCTGCATAGCAAATATCACTAGAAATAGGAACAGAGTCCTAGAAGCTTTACCTACTAGAATTTCACGGTTTGAATTCTGTGACTTTTCTGCTTCAAAGAGCAACAGACCCTAGATTTTATTTTAATATCAATTATATATAGTATATATTACTTGTGTTATAGATTAATATAACTTAAATTTCCAAACTATCATCATAGTCATTTTTACTACAAATGTTATCTTTACCCAAATATGTTTGATATGGTTATAGAAGAGGAATGCTTATGATGATATAACACATAATAGCAAATAAAGCCTTTTAGAAATTATTAATCTAAAAATCAAATAATTTTTATAAAAATGCCAAGAAAAGGTTAGACTTTCTAGGGAAAGTTTTAAGATTAAAATGCTTTAAGCCCATCATACACTGGATCACAGGACAGCTGATTTTGATATATTAAAATTATAATTTTTTAACAAAGGAAAATTCATTCTTTGCCTTCATTAGATTCTTTTCAAAACTGCAAAAGTAAATCTGTCAATGAAACATTATTCAACTTACATACATACACATATATTTAACCTACCTCCTTTATATTAATTTCTGTGTTTTACAAATATTTTCATTAACATTTAAAAGTTCATAATAGTGCTTGTCCATCAAACAATATTTTTTAATATTTAGTTTTATTGACTCTTCTAGTCCTCCAGGTATCACTCTACATAGAAAACTACAGTTACATTAATAGTAATTTACTTTTCTTCATGTTTAATAGTACTTTACAAGTTTAGAATTTTGTTAAGATTTTGTAGTTCCATATATAGCACCTTGAACTACCTCATTAAAACCTTATCATACAATGATTGATTTACATGACTGCCTTTAAGAGAAATTCTTAATAAGGACCATATTTTAGAAATCTTAAGTCTCCTAGAGCCTAGCACTGTGCCTGAGAGTAAAGAAGTGTCACAAAAATATTTGAGTACAAAAATTATAAAAATAGCTAAATCTCTTCTTGAAAAAGCAATTCTTTTATGAAAAAAAGAAATTTGCAACCTAACAGTACAGAAAATTAACTTTAAAAAAGTAAAATTTCTTACTGCTTATTGAAGAAATATGGTTGTGTTCCCAGTCTTTGAGAGAGAGCTTGACAGCATTGGTCTACATCCTCTAAGACCTAACACAGGCAATGAACCCCAAAGAAAAGTATATCAGTTAGCAAAACAATAAAAAACATAACTTGTATCACAGTTTATAACAAAAATATAAATTTAGGTTAACCTTTTATAATATATTTTAATAAGACTATAGACCACATACATACATAATACTTTCTATATAAGAAATAGGAAGAAAATTTCAGTGAATTTCCTTCAAACTACAAGTACATTTAAGTTACTTATAAGGATTTTGTCAAGAACAAAAGTGTCTTCCTGAATCCATATATTCAAATGGCTTTGCATATACTGAAAAATCTGCTTAATAAAGGTAACACCATTGACCCACCATGAGTAAAAGCATTTGAGTTGTTTTCCCACTAGTGGAGATAGATTTTTATTTATTCTATCCCTATTCATTTACTGAAACCCCCTTGTGGCCAATGGCACACATCAGTGAGATGGTTGGCTAGTATTAAGGGTAGCCTTGGAAAAGACGGGCATTAATTAACTTAATGATGCCTGTGGACAAGATTAAGTATTTTTAAGTTTTGCTACTTTAGTAGCAAAAATACAGACAGATAGATAGATAGATGCAGATAAATATAGATATATTAAGTACTGTGTTTAACAGGGCTTTTTTTTTTTTTAAAGCCCGATGCTGCAGATCTATAGTTACATAAAAGGTATCCACATGTATTGCTCAAAAAAAAAAAAAAAAAAAAAAAACCCTCAGGTTATACAGTAGCAGGCATAATGATCCCATTTGAGAAAATGTTACTAAGAAACATCTAGAAGAAGGCTCTCCAAATAGTTAAGGGTGGCAATTTCTAGGTGATGAGATTTCAGGCAAGTTTCACTGCTTTTTTACACATATCTGCATTGTATTGTTTGCTTTACATGAAGCATGTACGAATTTTTAGAAATAAAATTACTTCATGTTAGTGAAAATAACAGCAAATGGTTTTCTTGCAAATCTTACATTAAAAAAAAAAGTTTTTTTTGAAGGAGTACCAATATAAAGAATGATTCTTTTAATGCACAAAAGTTGAGGGTTTTGTCAACTTCAACCTGAACTGACCTGGTCCAGAGTCTTCTTTCCCCATCCAATAGCTTTCATCTTACGCTTGACTTCCCACTGTTTCTGATAGGCCAAAATGTGATTCAGAGGCCAAGGGTAAGGAGATCCATACCTAGCATGAGTGATCTAAAGCAAAAAGATTTTGTAAAAAAGGTGATCCTTCCTAAAAACAATGCCCGTTTTTACAAATAGAATTCTAAAAGAAATATATTTTCAAAGAACATAGAGCAATCTGAAAAAAATACATAGCTTGCAATCTAAAAAATTAAAATTTTAAGCCATTCTCTTTAAAAATATATAAACTTCTATGTACTTTGCAACCCGTTATATCAAACAATGACACACAGCTTCCCTAAAATGTATGTGCAAGCAAAATTAAAGTAAGTGAAAAACTGTATCACTAATGGTATAAACCACAATGTTTCATTTATGAGCAGGGACTTGCGATTCTGAGCAAAAGTGTTTTCTCATTAAATTTTAATTAAGATAAATGTTACAGAACCACTCACCTCCCCTACTGTGGCTTCATCACACCACTGAAGATACAGCTAGGAACAAAAGAACAGTCACTAAACTTTAGGATACCAAAGAGGAAAATGATAAAGAAAGTAATTTTTTGCCAAGGCAATTTTTTATAAGCTAATTTCATAAGTCACATACGTAGGGGTTTGTTTTCCTTAGCTGCTATCCAGAATTATTAAATGTAATGATGGTACGATATAAAAACATTTTTTATTCACACAGTACGTGTCTAAACACCATTAAAGTGTTTTACAGATATTATTTAAGTAAATTTCAAAAGGCCAAAGTAAAATAATGAGTAGGCAAGAATCACCCCTTTTTATAAACACAAAAACTAGAACTGAAAATGTCAGGTAACTTGTTCAAAGGTAATAATCAAATAATTTAGGTAGCCATCTCAGCTCTAGAATTACTTGACTATTTTCCCATTTCTCAATAACTTTAACCCATTAGAAAGATTATATTTTATGACAATGAGAGAAAAAGCTTATTTTCAAGCCATATCATCTAGTATTTTACCTCTGCAGTCAACAGCATATTGTTGACTAATTCCATGTAAGCTTTCATTTCTGCTTTTTGGACTTCACCCAGCCCATCACTAAGAGAATGGCCCTAAAGGGAATTTAAAAAAATTTAAAAGACCATCATATTAAATATACAAAAACTTTCAGTTATCTTACTAACAAATAATATAACATGCAACTATACCATGAATTAAACTTCCAAAATGCCCCCTAAAAATTATGTTATATAAAAGCATATTTAACACTCTGCTATCACCACAAAATATTAGTATGTACTTATTTGTCATTATACAAACGTATCTTTCAATAGAGAAAATTACATTATCAACTACTTCGCAAAAGAAGAAAACAGAATGGTCAGCAAACCTTGTTTAAGAGATTAATTGACCTTATTAGAATTAAAGGAAATACCAAAAGACTGACATGTGCTGTTTATAAAGTGGTCAAAGATGAAAAAAATACTGTTAGTAAACATATGGGGAAAAAACTTCACTCATTTTAAAATTCTAATACACTATAGTAACTAGGAGATACATAAAATGGTATAATCGTTAGTTCAATCTGGCAATCTATTACAAGATTTAAAAAGTACATAACCTACGACATCCTAATACCACTCTTAGGAATTTATTCTAAGGTAACAATACCATTCTTAGGAATTTATACAAAGATGTACATACAAGAAAATTTATCTTAGTACTCTGTAAAAACAAAAAATTGGCCATGACCTAAATGCCCATCAATAAACTTGAGTAAATAAAATTCTAATTTATCTAATATGGGGGGGGGTGTTAAAGGAAAAAAAAAATATATATATATATATATACACACACACACAATACAGTAGAATACTATACACCAATGTGAAAGGATGATATATATCTACAGCTGTTAATATGGAAGAATTTCCAAACATATTTATGATTTTAAAAGGTATGTTGCAAAATAATACATACTAGTATGATCTAGGTTTTTCTAGATATGCAAAAAGAAAAGTCTGGAATGATTTTTCAGAAACACTAATGGGAGTTGTTCCTTAATAACTATTAAAATCTAAACTGAATAAATGAAAAGCAGCATCATTCAAATGGATAAATACATTCAACTTCGAACATCTCCTGTATCTCCCTTTTCAAAGGTCAGCCAGACACTTCAAAACCTAATAGTTTTTCATTTCTGACCACGGTTCTCATAAGCATAAGTTAGAAAATTATCTACCATTTTGTAAAGATCAAACCATCTCTTTTGACTAGATATTAAAATTACATACCTTTAATAAATTTGACATTAATAAAGAAAAATAAAGCTACCTCTTTCGCCATTATATCATGAAAAAATACTAACTTACGCTTCAGAAATATTTTCCAGTAGTTTGCATTGGCATTTTATAAAACTAGGTTGAAATCAATGTAAATGTTAAGACATATTAAAGAATGATGAATGACTTAGTAACTGTGATCAAATACATTTAATATCTTTTTATTACCTTGGCTTTAACAAATTGGACTATTGGACCAAGTTCTGATACTACTTGATTTCCCACATGAATAAAAGGTACTTTACCTGTTGAGAGAAAAAAAAGTATTTATAAAAATACTTCCAGTATGTTAAAGTTTGTGATAATTAAAGAAAAATTAACACAAAACTCAGATATTTATAAACAGGGATCATAAAACTGTAACTTCTGAAAATTTTTGTCAGATGTGTATATTAAATTCTGTAAGTTTTTAAACTGATTACTAACCAACTTTAGAAAAAAGAACAGGTAAATTCATTTCTAGAGTTCTCACTTAGATATAATAACAGATCACATAACATTCTCTTTTCAGAGCCAACACGAACATACCACCATACAGCAGCAAACACTAATTATCCAAATTACATGAACCAAGCCAGGACATTGGCACATGACCACTAATATATTTCAAAGAAATTTAGCTAAGCTTTCTTTTGAGAGTGCAGTGAATCAATCTATATTGTAAACTACATTTAAAAAATCTTTTTATATCTTTTATGTCTTTGATACTGAGATCAACATTTTAAGCAAGTAATTGTACAGTAATCTCTTTGACTGAAAATAGCGAGAATTAAAAGAATTAACAATCTTTGAAGGCATGCTAGTTGGTGGGTTGTAATACAGAGTAATGTTCCCAACATGTGGGAAAAAATAATAGTATGTTTATAAAAACTAGCTTCTATAGACAAATGTCACATTAAAAAAGAAATATTTCACTTTAACAAATACTAATACTTGATGGAATTATTAGAGATGAGAGAACAAAATAATCTCCAAATAGCAAGAAGGGTCTACTCCAAATGCTAAAGAATGAAACCTGCTGTCAGACCTAGTTCAAACAGAGTTCACACTACCAGCAGGCTTCTTCCTGTTCCTTTTCAATAGATTCACTCCTCTCTGGCTCAGTCAGCCTGGGGGTAATGGATGAAGTACACAGGCCTAACAAAAGCTTCAACTGCATCCATAGGACAACATGCATTACAAAGAGAAGGCAGGCCTTTTGGAACACAACTCAATAGATGTATTGAGAAGATATTTCCCTGTTGCCAATTCTGCATTCCTTCCTTCTACTGCTTTATAAATCTTGCCAAAAAAAAAAAAAAATTATCTGGTTAAGCATTAGGCCATATTGTTTTCTTAACTTGGGATAAAATCTTTGTAACTACTATACTACGAGAATTATTACAGGTCCCCTGAGATCAAATGATCTGAGAATGAAAACTACTTAGTACCTAGACTAAAGAGTATTTGGGGGTATAATATTTTTAGAGCAAAGCATATTCCTCATTTTTAATGACCAGTTTCAGGTTCTTGGAAAACAGGGTATGTATTTTATTTTTCTTAAAAATACACTGAGTACTGTCAATTCTGAAGCAAAAAGAAGTGTGGATAGTCAACTGAGTATTCATCTTATATATCTCTAAATATAGAGATATATAAAAACAAAGACAACAAATTAGAATTGAATAATGTTTCCTGTCACTAGCCTGCTTAATGAAAATGGAGCCAATGTTATATCCTTATTATTGCAGGTATTAGGCAAAAACACAGTAAGACAGTTATTTTCTGGTACCAATCAAAGGTCATATAAGAAAAGTGAGGGCTTTGTTTACCGTCTTAGACAGAATAATCACTTCTAAAATTTCTATTCTAAAGAAAGCAAGAATATGTTGCCAAACAAGTTGGCAGATTCAAAGAATGCAAGAAATAGGACCTTGGATGTCATCTAATCCGACTACCTTATATTACAGATAAAGTCACTGAGGCTCAGAGAAGTGAAATTTCTCAAGGAAATAGTTAATATGTGACAAAGTCACAGAGGGATTAGTTGAAGATTTCCTACCTCTTTAGGAAATAAGAGTTTAAGTCAACTGGTCTTCTGACTATTCCATGCTCTCTGCTTTAAAAATCTGCCACAAGATCAAAGAAGCAAATACAATAAAAAACATTTCCCTGATCACCTCAAATCATTAAATGAAAGAGAATACCAGTCTGAAATATAAAATTTAAACATCTTAGTAGAAAGTGCCATTTTCATCTACCTATAGGCGACTCCTATGAAAGAACGTATATTTTTGTATGTCTCTAAAACATTTATCTGTCTTTCGCACAGTCTAATAAAAAGAAAATACATTATCTACTTAAGTGACAGTAAGTATAGTAATTTTAGGAAACAGGTGGATAAACTATATGATTTCTCACTTGCCAAAGATCTGAACTTTAGTATTAGATTACTAACCTTTTTACATAAATATACAAACTCTTTTTGTATGACTACATAGAGGAAAAGGATGCACAGAACACAATATAACTTATTTCACCAGAATTCTGTAGTTCCTAAAATCTGTGTATAAAACCAACACAAAATGAGTCAATCAATGCCCTCCAAGAATCTAAAATATGTTTACATTTACAAGCCTAGAAATTATTTTATGGAAGTGTTTTCTAAATGTATATTCATAAACCTCTAAAACCAGGTATTTATATAAAAGAATATTCAGTATGTACAGAAGGGGTGTCTTCATACCTTTTAACAATTTCTGCCACCCTTAAAAACTTAAGGTGGAAAAAAAAAAGTTTAACACAAGTCACTCCTAAATTATCATACCAAAATGAAAAATGTTTCCCTAAAAAGCAATGTTACACACTTATACCAATCAGTTATCCTTAATAATTTATTCAAAAAGGAGTAATTCTACTTATTGCTCCAACAAAACCATAATTACAATAATCATCCATAATTACATATAACATTTATTTATCAGCTTTGTAGCACATTTTTACATTAAAAATTCTTTTAATCATTTATTTAAAACTACTTTAATCTACTGACATAAAGATAATACTGATTTTTTAAAATAGGAAAGCTAATGCATCTCAAAACCTGTTAAAATTAAGCATTAAAAAAAACCCTAGAAACCAAAAACATTCAGTGATGACTTCAAGATCTAATGACAAATTAATTTGTCTACAATCTCTCTTCTTCCACCTGTATTACGGGAGAATATAATTTAGACGTGTTGAATAATAAATGGATTCATTATGACTAAAATTTGTTTTCTCAACAGGAAAGTCTTATGTACATTAAGACTAGGGAAATCTGAGATCATGTATTTCCTTAACATTTACTATTTAAAATAATTCCCTTACTATTAAAACCATTTCCACAAGTCAGTAACCATCTCTGATCACAGTTGAAATGAATAGATATGCCAACCCCAAGATTGTCAAATTTGCAATTGTTACTTTCTAAAACCATGGAAAGATTCTTCAAAGGGTAAACAAAAAAATCAGACATTTTAACATGTAGATACAAACTGGACTATCACTATAATTTTATCACTCCATAATATTAACAGAGAAGAAAAAAAAAACACACTTACCAGATGGAGACATATATTCTGCATTTGCCCTACAAACTACTTTGATAGGCAAGTTACACATTTGCAAAAAGGCCTGTAAATCAAGATACATACAATAAGCCCAGTAAAAGCATATGCATAATTGAACAGAAATTTGTATGCATTTCTTTTCTAAACTGAATAGTTTCATACTACAAAACTCTATTAGAAAACAATGAACCAATTGAAAGTGAAGGATTTGTTTTCCAAACAAAAAAAAATGTCATTTCACTATTTAAAAATCAGTATGATTTAGACATCAGTAAATATATGAAACTTAAAGTATGTATGTATACCTAAGGAATAAAATGTAAATTATCCACATTTATGTTACTGTATTAGTTTATGTAAACCAGCGATACTACATATTGCCTTAATTTTCTTAAGTAGATGACTAAAGTCCAAATTTTATAAGCTATTAATTGCTTCATTCCACTATTTTCTATAGGATCATCATCTTCCTCATTTTAGAGTAAAACTCAAAATACTATCTCTGCTACCTCAAAGTTCTCTCCAGTAATACACTATATTCCAACAGGTAGCTTCTGTGCTCACTAATTCACTTTTTAAAGACTTAAATTGTTTATCTTTGTTCATAGTTACAAAAATGTTATAAGCAATTTAAATGTCTAATAATAAGGGTATGGGGTAAATCATTATAGTAAATCCAAACTATGGAATGCTATATAACCAATTTAAAAACTCATGCTTTAGAAAAATTTTTACCACAAGAAAAAATGTGCTGTAGAAAAATTTTTACAAGAAAAAATGTACACATTATAATATTAAGTAAAAAAAAATGCAAAACTCTATTACTAGATCACACTAATTAATTTTTAAATGTTTTTAAGACACCAGTGAACTCTGCCAAGCCCACTGTTTTTTACAATACTCAACGTTCACTCCCCTTGTTCTCTCTTCTATGACTCCTTGGCTTCTTTTTCTCTATTCACAAAATTTACTATGTTATTTCTATAAAATCATTCAGTTATTCAATTGGGAAGTCATAAGTTGCAATGGTTCTAATTACCACATACAGATTGGAAGACAAACCTTTTATCTATTTTGAAATTGAAAGTACTATAAATAGATGTCAAAAGTAAGATAAGATAAATTAATAAATTAACAAGGATATTATTTATCATTTTACTCACAGAGATTTCTCATAGGTTTATTATAGTTCCTTCCTCAGCTCTAGATTAGAAATAAATATTAAGACTCTTGTTAAGTGTTAAGGGTACAATACAGTGATTAATATCTTCTACAAAGAACTCCTTTTACCCAAAAGTATGTCAATTCTCTTCTGTTTTCTCAAAACTCCAGTCCTTTAGAGATGCCTGCCTCCAAAAATAAATCCCACATGAGTCTGATTCCCCTCCTAATTACATCTTCTGATTCTTACATTGCTCTGTAACTTACGTATGCATGTCTGATCTCCCCAAGTAAATGGAATCTCTTAGAAAACCAAGCGGGAGATTTTTAATTTTTTTTTTGCAATTCTGTTCTCCTCCCCACAGTCTCCCTCATTTTCCCACAATTAACCTTTCATAGTGCACTACTTAAAATAAGCAATACTGTTTACTGATTGAGCCATTCAAAGCTCCCAAGAGCTTATCATGGCAGAGGCTGTTATTCCTGCCACATATGTTCTCCCCTTTCCCTACAGTGGTAGAAACTACATCTGCAAACAAGGCTGCCTAAAATAAAAACTTATTTTCCGGGCTCCCTTATAACTGGGTATGGCCAAATGGACTAAAAGTTCTGGACAACTGCTGGGAAGTTTCTTTAAAAGGGGAAAATACCTCCTCTTTTTCCTCCCTGTTGACTAGAATGTAAAAAGGATGGCTATAGCTATAGCAGCCAAACAGAACCAGGAAGTAGCAGTTGAGTGTTGGAAATGGTAGAGCAACGAGAGTAAAGGGGCCTAGGTTCCTGATAATTATGTAGTCACCAAACCTGGATTACCCATGTTTGTACGAGAAGTGAACTATCTTTTTAAGCTGCCACTAGATTGGGTTTCTGTCACTCACTGCCAAACCTCATCTTAATTAATTCACCTACAGTCATGATTTCTAAGTTTAAACACCATCCTGCCCCACCAGAAGTTGATTCTTCTGTGTCTAAGTGGAAACTAAGAGTCCTCTAAAACCTATAACCAGTGATTCCAATTCATAGCGATAATAGTGAGCTTCCGGACTGACCCACAAAGATAGGGTAGGGTGGTGATTCTCAAACTTCAGCATGCATCAAAATCATGTCAAAGCATGGCTTGTAAGGAAAGAATTAGAGAAAATGAACATAAACAGTTCTTTCAAAAAGCCTGGATCAGAAAAAAAGAAAGAAGGGAGGAGAAGGGTTCTATTACATATTACATATGAAGAAGAGTGGAGCTTATTAAAACACAAAGAAAAAAAATAATGGAGATAGGCTGAAATTACATAAAACAAGTGAAATAACTGATATACAAGATCCATGTGGCCAGGAGTAGTGGCTCACACCTATAATCTCAGCACTTTTGGGGAGGCCAAGGCAAAAGGATCACCTGAGGCCAGGAGTTCAAGACCAGCTTAGAAAACATAGGGAGAATCCATTCCTACAAAAAAGTTTAAAAAATTGGCTGGGCATGGTGGTGTACACCTTTAGTCTCAGTTACTCAAGAGGCTGAGGTGGGAGGATTGCTTGAACCTGGGAGGTCAAGGCTGCAGTAAGCCATGATCACACCACTGCACTCCAGCCTGTGCAATACAATGAGACCCTGTCCTTAGCTGGAGAGATCTGTTTTTGTCAGAATAAGAAACTTTTTCCACTGTAATGCAAGAGGTAGTGGGGAACCAGTGATGATGACTGCAAGCTGATACGAAAGAACAAGAATGTGAGTGCTCATATTTTATGAAATGGAAGGAGAAATCATTTGCTGAGAATGAGAAACTAAGAAGGGATTCAGGCCTTCAGTAGAACAAAAAAAGAGTTTGAAATAACTGTTTAATATATCTTCTCAAAGGCCTGAATAATATTCAACTGTTAACAATAATAATACTGTATAAAATAGTAAATATAGTATATTTTGCTAAACTACATGCATAGTGGTAACTATGCTAATTAATATTCCAAAAATATTGTATTTCACTTAAAATAAAAGAATTGTAATGTTCTGCAATCAAACCTATGCTTCTTTTTTTTGAGACAGAATTTCACTCTGTCGCCCAGGCTGGAGTGTAGTTGCACAATCTTAGCTCAATGCAACCTTCAACTCCCAAAACCCATGCTTCTTGGTCCCATGCTTTTTACTTTTTTATAAAAACTAACTGACAATTTTACCAATTAAATGACACTCAACTTACTACAGACCTCAACTGGTAACATAATTCTAGTTAACCAATTAATCTGCAGTTCACAAAAAGGTTTGATGTCACAAAGCATTTTCATCCAAACTTTAAAAATGCAAAAACAGGCCAGTCCCAGTGCTTCCAGAGGCCGAGGAGGGAGGATTCCTTGAGGCTGAGAGTTCAAGACCAGTCTGGGAACCATAGTGAGAGTTTCTCTCTACAAAAATTTTTTTTAATTAGCAGCACAGGCCGGGCGCAGTGGCTTATGCCTATAATTCCGGGAGGCCGAGGCGGGAGGATCATGAGGTCAGGAGTTTGAGACCAGCCTGGCCAACATGGTGAAACCCTGACTCTACTAACAATACAAAAATTAGCCAGGCGTGCATGCCTATAGTCCCAGCTACTCAGAAGGTTGAGGCAGGAGAATCACTGGAACCCGGGAGGCAGAGGTTGCAGTGACCTGAGGTCGTACCACTGCACTCCAGCCTGGGTGACAGAGCAAGACTCCGTCTCAAAACAAAACAAACAAAACAAAACAAACAAACAAAAAAAATTAGCAGCACTGTGGTGGCAGGCACCTATAGTCCCAGCTACTTGTGGAAGCTATGGTAGGAGGATAGCTTGAGCCCAATAATTCAAGGTGAGCTATGATCATGCAAAAAAAAAAAAAAAAGCAAAACCAAAACATTACCATGACTATTTTCAATAATATAAAAACTTTAAAACAATAGCAAGGTTTGGTTCAAACAGTATTTCCCCTTTCTCTTGAAAGATGGAAGAAAACACTGGAGAGGCTCACTTTCACCTTCCGCTTTGACTTTCAATATCTTATCAGCACACAAAAATACTCCAAATAACTGGCATGGCACACTCACCTAAACATATCCTCTTTTCAATTCAGAAATAGCAATCTGCATATTTTTATTCTTATGGAAGTCAAAGAAAAATGTATTTCAAATTATAATAATGAATAATGAATTTGGAACAACTCAGCTAACTCTTATTCCTGCGTTGAATACTTTATTCCAAACTAATTTAAATGAATAACAGCATAAAATAATTTGAATAAAACACTTAGCACATCCTATTAGAGTAACGTTTTATAACTATGCTGTCCAATATGGCAGCCACTAGTCACATGTGGCGCCTTAATTGTTTGAATAAAATTTTAAATTCAGTTCCCTAGTCACACTAGCCACATTTCCAGTGCTCAACAGGCACATGTGGCTAGTGGCTACTGTATTTATTGAACAGTCCAGATTCAGAACACTTCCATCATCACAGTGTGATGTGATGATGTCTATCAGATAGCATGGATATATAACAACAGTAATCAGTACATAAAGGAGACCTTAGCAAGAGAAGCTGACATCATCTGAAAGTGATTATACCAAACATATTTTTAAAAAGCTGCATGATAGCACAGAGTCCAAAAATCCTGCAAGTGATACAATCAACTTTTGATGATGGTGACACATTAAATACCGTATTTCCAATTTCTGAGAGAATATAAAGATTACTCATTTGCTGAGCAACTCAAATTGTTAAAATGATGAGGCAAATGTATTAATATGTGAAAACTAAGAACTGAAGAATGCATTAAAACTGCACCCATATTTTATATATAGTGAGTACCTGGTAGGAAATTTCTTAAATGCACACATATGTATATGCACACAGAACATAACTGCCTGTATCTGATTTCTAAGACCCTGAAATTTAATCAGCT